CCCCCCACCCCACCCCAAAAAAAAAACAAAAAAAGAAGGTAATTTGTTCGTTAGCCATAACTAATATGCCCATTAGGAAAGTACCTGTATTATATAATCAACACCTGGAATATCAAGTCCACGTGCTGCTACATCTGTGCATAAAAGAATGCCACTGGAAAGAGATGTAAATGATGCTATTGCTTTCTCCCTTGCACTCTACAAAAGTTTGAAACAGTAAATATATTCAGCTACTAGAGCACCTTCATAAAATAATAGACCTTTCTTATTATAATGTCAACAAATGTACCTGCTTCATCTTTCCATGAAGAGAGATTAACGAAAAACTTTTCAGACAAGAGAGACGCGGAAAAACAGTTCCCCAGTAATCAACACAAGCACAAGTCATGAAATAGCTGCAAAAGTAAAAAAATCAAATACCGAACACCAAAGTACTCTCCTACCAGCTATGCAGGTATAGAAAAAATATCTATATGTACAATCAGGATTCCAGGAAAGTTGGCTCACATCATAATTTTTTTTGACCTGTTCTTCGTCAGGAGGTGTACAAGCTGCGAAGATTTCTTGTCCGCTTCGCATTCAAGATACTGCAAAATTGAAGAGATACTAGAATATGGTAATATGCACCTTGACATAAAAAATCTTAGTTTGAAACAAACGAACTCTCTGAAACACTGGAAGTGTACCTCAATATGAAGGCCGGAAGGTGTTTTTGATGAGGCCGAATTCCCAGACGATGCAGAACCATTCAACTGTTTTGCTTCTGCCCGAACTTCAACCCTGACAGGATTTCTTAATCCTGCCTTTGATAGTTCTTCAACTGCCTCAGTTTGCGTAGCAGAGAAGAGACCCGTTCGTCGAAGCTTAGGTAAACGAGAAATAATTGAATTTATCTGCTTTTCAAATCCCATCTCTAATAGCCTATCAGCCTCATCTAATATCAGAATCTGTATCAATGAAATTGTTGTCACTGAGTGGTTAATTAAGATGTAGCATGTCATATATCACTACCAAATCACGAACACCTTGAAGAAAATAAAGGTTAAGGGAAGGGGGAGGACGCAATGCCCAGTCTTCTATTTACTGACAGCTAATAGACTGCTTGTAAGAACATGTAGGAAATCAGAGACTAAGAAAATTCAAAAAATAATCTAGGAAATCAGAGACCACTTAGGTCAGAATGTAATTATAGGCAATCATGTAGGCCAGCCTTGAGTACGAACTTATGATCTACAATGGAGATAGAAGTTAACTCCTTTTGGTAACACTGAACTTAGCACTACGGGAGTGCACAAGTGAAAAGCTTAACATGAATTTAGCACAAAAATATGAGGCTAAATTGTTTTAACGCAGGACGTACTACACTTTATTTTCTTTATTAAAGAATCATAAGAAAAACATAAATTATCGTCTTTCAAGTAAAAGATTTGACACTTCTAAATTCCGAGCAAACTTTATCTTTAAAAGTAAACAAATGGTTAACAGCTAAAAAGATACTGCAGCACTCGAGAAAAGAATTAATACTCCAAAATTCCCAAGCAAACTTTTTTTTAAAAGCAAACAAATAGTTAGCAGCTAAAAAAATCACTATAGCACTCGAGCATAAAGCTTTTTGTTTTCCACTGAAAGAGGCATGAAAGTAACCTCAAAATCCCGAAAATCCAGTATATCCATGCGCTCCATAATGTCATATAGCCTCCCAGGTGTCCCGATCAACAAATTTGCTCCTTCCTCCTCTATCTTTCTGACATCTGCCTTTACGCCTTGTCCCCCAACGAGAAGCATAGGCCTAACGTTTGCTAATGTGGAAATGAACGGTTGAGCAACGTGAAATATTTGTGACGACAACTCCCTGGCAGGTGATATAATTATACCCATTACCTACAAGGGCTCCAAAGAGTCAGCTACATACAAGATGAAGAACAATATATTTAAAGGAGGGAAGCAGAAAGGATAACAAAAGCATATAACAACGAGCAACATTGGCTGTTAAATGAGCCTATTTTGATAGAACAATAGAACATATTCCATAAGCATGGAAGATTCTTTTATATAAAGTATACTACAACTTGTGCGGCACAGATTAGTCTGTCCCTTTCTTTGTAACGTAAGGCTTTCCCGTGAGGTCAACTTATCCGACTTCAACAAGATTGGAGGGCTTTATTTATTTGTTGTAGTAACTATTTCTAGGGATGAAGGCGACTAGCCTTCCCTGTATACCGTTTCTCATTAGGTTACATCGTTTTATTTTTTAAAAAACGGAATTGAGAACCGTGGTAAGTACTGTCTTTCTATAGTTGAAGCAAGATACAGTCAAATAACCAGAAAATGATAAAAAATATCAGAGAGCAACCTCCTATTACACTACTCTAATAGCACCACCCAACTGGAAACCACTACTGAATCAAGTTCAAGCTGGTCTATTGAAGATCCCCTTAAGTTGGAAATATTCCTTAGACAAACACCCTAAATGATCCAATTTGTTGGTGTTAACCAGGAAAGATGGATGTCTTTTAAAACAGCAATGACTAAGTGACTCATATTTCACCACAGATTCCACTTCTCCAAACATGTAAAGTGGATAGCAGCGCAATTGTCGTGCAGCTTTTCACTCCCACAAGAATATGTATTTATATAAGTAACTCATTCGGTAGTCAAATTCGAATGTCATGTTGAACTAATATGAAACTTGATGTGGTACAAATGAGCACAACTGCATCTGCTTCCAGCTTATATCAGTCAGCATAGCATATATCTTCATGACAGGTTAATATTTAGCATTCTACTTCTCAAACATGTTGATTATAATCAGCTAGCATGCATCTAATTGGGAACACTAAATTCCATTGTTCTTTATGAACCAATTCAGTTAGCATGCATCTTTTAGAACCCGAAATTTTCCCACTGAACAAATCAAAACTCTAGTACCAGCACTAATGCTTGTATACTTTGAACAAAAAAGCTAAATATCTCGAAAAGAGCGTAAAACCAAACAGGAAAAAATAAGCCAAAAAAAACAACTTGAAGGAAACTTACCTGGTGAGGTTTGGGATTAGAGGAGGAGCGACGGAGGATCTCAACGAGAGGAACGACGAAGGCTAGGGTTTTACCAGAGCCAGTGGCGGCGTCGACGGTGACATCCTTGTAGTTGCAGAGTAAGGGTATGGTGGCAGCCTGAACAGGAGTACAGAACTCGAAGCCGGAATTGGTTAAGGCTTCCAAAACTGGCTCGGAGAGCGGTGGTTCGAGGTCGGAGAAACGCGTATTCGTTAAGGCTTTGTTCGGATTCGACGCCATGCCGCCGCAGCCGTAGTTAGAGCAACGTGCTTTTCTTCAGTCTAATGAAAGAGTTGTACTATGCTGGCAGGGACGCTAATTTTACGCGATGGTTTTAACAAATAGCCACTTTTTTGGTAGAATTTTTGTTGGGCAGCTTATAGCACAGCGCCATTTAAGATGTAGTCACTTTTTTGAAATTTTGCATTCGTGGCCAATTAACTGTTTCGGGAATTTTTCTACTTCTCTTAGATTAATAGCCCGTTTGGTCAAGCTGCAAAAATCAGCTTATTTTGAGAAGTGCTTTTCTCAAAAATACTTTTGGTGAAAAGCAGTTTGTATTTGGCTAATTAGTTTGAAAAGCACTTCTGAGCAGCAATTAGTGTTTGGTCAAGCTTTAAAAAACTACTTCTAACTGTATTTTTCTCAAAAGTACTTCTCAAAAAAGTACTTTTGGAGAGAAGCTATTTTTTTCTGCTTCTCCAAAATTGTTTCTGCTTCTCCTCAAAAACAACTTTTTTCCTTCCAGAAACTTGGCCAAGCACCTTAATTTTTGGCCAAAAGTGCTTTTGGCCACTTTTGACCAAAAATAAGTTTGGCCAAACAGGCTATAAACATGTTGGGTTTTTGGATTATGAGATTCATGTCTGGTCCTACTTTCTTGTTGCCACTAGCCCACAATGGTGAGCTACTCTACTTACTTCCAAGATTTGCTGATAACTTCTTCAGTTATTATGTTTGTGATTGATTTTTTATGTATATATATATATGTTTCTCTATGTATAAAGAATTTGTTTGATTCTTATGTTTTGTAAAAAGAGTGTACGTGATGGATGAGCAGATTGAAAAATGGCTTATACTGTACGAGTACCAAATTACTTTGTTGGATCCGGGTATAGATTCGTTATGGGCTCATTGTAAGGTCAAAATCTGAACAAAAAATTTTTACTTAAGGAAGAACGACCAAGAGTCAACTAAGCCGAGGTCACGTATGGGAAGCAATACACCGACGAGTGATTTAACTACGGTTGAGGTCGAGCACTCAATTCGGTCTGAACGGCTAGTTCAACACTTAGACATTTTTAGAGGAATATTCTACAGGATATTCCAAGAACTTAGATATTCCGGTTAAGGACCGCTGGGTAAAGAAAATGTTTTTATATAAATATTAGGGGGCTGAGAGGAACACACACATACATACATGTCTCTAAAAATGAAGATGAACCTTCATCTTAGGCTCCTCGCCAAGAAGAAAGGAGAAAAAAGTTTAGAAACTCGATATTTATCTGTAATTTAACTATGTTAAATGTATGGAGGTCAGCCTTGTTCAAGAATGGTGACTCTTTTCATTTATGAATTCTTCGCTATCATTTAATATTATGCGAGCAATCATCCTTTTCTTCCATTATAGAATTCAATCGTGACTATAACCAAATTTTATGTTCAGCTATACTTGTTTATTCTTATCTTCTATCTCAGATATAGGATAAATTCTTTTTGGCTAGGATTTGTCTCAAATCTTCTTATTTAACTAGTTTAACAAAAAGGGTTTAATACTTTTTAGTCAAACACTCATGTCTAGGTTTTTTCGTTTCCTTAGCTTTATGAAATTGTTGCATTTTGTATATTGATTGAACTGTTTGATTCCGAATATGGCAATATGCATTGTTATTTTTTAAGCAGCTTGAAGATGAAAAAGTAGGTTTGATAGATTTGTTATTGTTTTGGCAAATTGATTATTGAGATTTATTTTTTATGACATTTGCAACTTATGTTTCAAATTTAAGTTTATATGGAATAGATTTATCAATCGTGGGTTAGATTATTAAAATTCGAAGAATGAATTATTATTTCTCGGCAAAAATTTATTCACTTGAACTTCATGCATAGCCTGAAGTTTAGCTTTATATGTATGAATTTTATGTATTCAACCAAAAATGTCGAAAGTTAGCCGGCCAAACTAGTTTACTGCGAAACTTCATGCGCAAATTTTGGTAACTTGTATTGCGAAAAAGGGCTTATTTTTAAAAGTACTTTTATTCGGAAGTGCTTTTCAAAAAAATACATTTGCAAAGTAGCCGTTTGTGTTTGGCCAATTCAATAAGTAGTGCTTCTTGCAAGCAAATTGTGTTTGGCCAATCATTCGAAAAAGTACTTTTAAGTATCAAATTACGAAAAAATATTGGTAAAGTTCAGTTTGCAATTAGTATTATTTCAAAAGAGATAAATGAATTTAAATATTTACTAGAATAAAAATAAAATTTAAAAATTTTAATCAATAAAAAATATAGGTATTCTAAAGCGATAATATTAGGGGATCTAGTATTACTTATTGTTTACATGATGATTTAAATATATCAATAATATAAATTAAATATTTACTTTATAAATCATTATATAAAAGAAGAGATCTATTTATAGTAGAGAGAATTTAAGAGATATAGGAAAAAAAGAATAAAAATATGATAAAATAGAAAAGAGAAGAAATGTATGATAAAAAAAAAGAAAAGAAAATAGAACTGTCAAATTAATGAGGGATAATTTAAAAAATATAAATTTAATGTAATGATAAATTTGTCTTGAATAAATTAATTTTTTGTTTCTGTTCTGCTTATTTGAAGAAGCTAGAATTTATAACTTCTCCCCAAAATCACAAATATTGTTTTTGCTTTTGCTCAAAAGAACTTTTTTTATTTTGGCCAAACATCTCAATTTTTTTTAAAAAAATATTTTTTTTTTACCAAAAAAGGGGTACTTTTTGCTTCCCAGAAACTTGGCCAAACGGGCTCTAAACTTGTAACTTTTTATATACAACTATAGCTTAAGTGATGATTCCAAAATCGATTATCTATGCACTTGCCTCACTTTTATTACTGTTGTTTGAAACTCATTGTAACGACCCGACCAGTCATTTTGAGCATTTGCATTTCGTGCAGCCGTTTCAAGTCTTGAGTAGCTTCATATTATGTATTATGACTTATATGAATCGTCTGTTTTGGTTTTCAGGTGATTCGAGATTAATTTGGAAGACGATTCTCAACTAGGAAGCTTTAAATTGGAAGAGTTGACTAAGTTTGACTTTTGTATATTTGACCTTGGACTTGGGCGCATGCCCGGATTTACATTTAGATGTTTCTAGAAGGTTTTGGCACTAATTGGCGAAAGATGACAATTTGAAGGTTTAGAAAGTTCATAGGTTTGACAGGAGTTGACTTTGATGATATCGGATTCGTATTATTGTTCTGGGAGTTGGAATAGGCCCATTATGTCATTTGAAACTCTTGTGCAAAATTTGATGTCATTCCGAGTTGATTTGATATGGTTCGACACGAGTTCTGAAAGTTGAAAGTTCATTAAGTTTGATTTGAGGTGCGATTCGTGGTTTTGATATTTTTTGTGTGATTTGAGGCTTCGAGTATATCCTTGTTATGTTTTGAGACTTGTTGGTATGTTCGGACGGGTTCTCGAAGGGCTCGAGTGAGATTTGAAGTGGTTTCGGATCATTTCGGAGCTTCATGCATAGCTGGTTTACTATTGTTATCTGGTGCCTCAGTTATTCTTCGTGATCGCAAAGATGTAGCTGCTATCGCGAAGATATAGCTGCTATCGCATAGGCTAAGCCTGGAGCTGGGTACTTTCTTCAATGCATTCGCAACCAGGAGACCGCGCTAGCATAGGTTGTGGGGACTTGAGCATCACGTCCGCGTATGTGGAATCACGGTCGCATAGAATTGAGCTGGGAGCTAGAGTTGGAGGCCTTGTTTATCCTGTTCGCGTGGAGGGAGCCACATTCGCGAAGTTCTTTGTCAGCTGTGAGTCGCGTTCGTGTGGAATGTGCCGCGAACCGAAGAGTAATTTGAGGGCAGTGGAGTTTGTGCTTTGCGATCATGAAGCTGGTTCTGCGATCACGTAGAGTATACCTGAGCAGTGTATATAAGTACTTTATTTTCGGACTTTGAGTCATTTTATCACATTTTGAGCTAAGGAGCTCGAGTTTGGATGATTTTGGAGGTAATTTTCACTACATGGATTGGGGTGAGTGTTTTCTACTCGGTTTTAATTATATTTCGGGATTCCATCTTCTATTATAATTGGTAATTAATTGGTGGTTTTGAAAGAGAAGGTGGGGGGGGGGGGTTGTCTAAACTTTTCTAAAGTGAATATTTAGATTTTGAACATCGGTTCGGAGTCGGATTTGAATAAAATTTGTATGATTAGACTCGTAACTGAATGAGCTGTCGGAATTTATAAGTTTTCTAAGGTTCCGAGGTGCGAGAGGGGATTTGACTTTTTGGTTGACTTTGAATTTTTGGTTAAAGATTCAACCTTTATCGATTGGGTTTGTTTCCTTTGGTATTATTTGATGTTGTTGAGTTACTTTTGGCTAGTTTCGAGCCGTTCGGAGGTTGATTTACACGGGATGGCATTTCTAGAGTACTGTTTGGCTTGCTCGGTATTTGATATGGCTTGTGCGAGGTAAATAATAGTTCTAAACTTGGAATTGAGGGTATTTATCCCTGGAAACTGTGTTATTTGTGTTGTGTTGGGGTGACGTATATACTAGGTGACGAGAGTGTAGGCATTCACCGTGGTGATCATGATCCAATTGATTCTTTTATACCGTGTTGTTATCAAGTCTTATTCTATCTGTGAAATCCTTACTTGTTAGAGTAATTGAACTAAGACTCATGTTAAAAATATGATACAATACAAAATGTAACAACCATACAAATAAGCTATTAGTGTCCTGAAATTCAGACTTCTACAACTGAACTTTAGGGCAGTAGTTCATCAAACTCCACAGTTCAAATAGATTTCATTTGGAAATTCAGGCTATGACTCTACAAATCAAATGATTTCTTTTATGGAGGTGTCCGTCTACAAGTAATTGAAATCTAACTCATTTTCCACGGCAAGTTTGCAGCATATCTGTATACGGTCAAAATCGATCTTACCCTTTTTGTATGACTAATCGAGACTGGAACATGGCAGACCAAGGTTCGACCATATGTTATATCGGACCACAATGCAGGTTAGATTGCCGAGCTCGTGACCTAGAGACCAATCGAGATTGAGATCA